TTTTTCAACATAAACTCAGAAGTGAGCAGTTTTAAGGCATTTCAGTTGAATTAATCATTACCACTACCTACGCTCTAAAATCTAAGGAGCAAGATACACGAAACATTATTTTTCCATCTTCCATTATTTCAACCACCACAAATAAATTTCCTTAGGCAGTAAAAAAGGAAAAACAAAAGCCTGTTTAGTACATTTCTCCTTTAGCTATTTGATCTTAAAAGAAAACACCTTATAATTTCGATGCTTAAAACCAAATCTAGACTGCTCCTGTGCCTCAGTGTGCTCAGCCAAGCAGAAGTGATATGAGGGACTTTTGGGGAGCGGGGTGAAGACCCAGGCACTAGTGGTGACCACTGGGCTGCATCACGGCCTCCCCACTTTCCAGGGGGGCCAGGCAGGTAGCTCCCATCCCTGTGCCTCCATTTCCTCTTCTGTAAAAGGGGCGAGAAAGGGCGGAGGGCTGGAAGATGACTTTGTTATCGCGTGGCCCGCCTCACATTCCCAGCCCACCCTGCACTCCCTCTACCTGAAACTCCCTCGGCTCAGGTACGTACAGACGCACTCGTCCCCTTCTTCACAGCTCTAATCAGTGCTACCTGCTTAGGGAGAGCTCCCGACTGGGCCTGAACGAGTGCCCATGCAGCCCTCTCTCAGCCGGCTCTTCCCTCCTGGCATTTAGTTGCTGCGGGTAGCTTGTTTTCTGTCTGTTCCTCCCTCTCCACCCGCACCCCCATGTGGGCTCCACAGGGGCACGCTGTGATTGGCACCGCACAGCCCAGCCGGGAGCAGTGCCTGCCACACTGAATGCTGCAAACAGTTTTTGGATGAATGAATGAATGAATGAATGAATGAATGACTTAAATGTGATTAAAAATTTAAAGTAAGCTGAGCCTACTATCCAAAGAAATCTAACAAGGGCAAACTGAAGTTTTACTAAAGAAACACGAGACCCCATGTGGTAAGGACCCTGGCAGTTTGGGACAGATCTCCGAGGCAGGGCTGACTCCCTCCTGGGTGGCATCTGTGTGACTCACCAGAGGTTTCTTCTCGGAGGGTAAGGCTTGCTTCTGCAGTCGAAACTTGTGCATGCCATTCTCACAGCTTTTTGAGCGCTGGAAGGAAAGAATTTAATTAGAGCAATTACTGAGTCAGC